CTTAATTAATTTCAGTTAGAGTGGCTGTCTGGGAGTGCCTCTACCTAAAATGCTCCCCCTGACCCCAGAGTACATATTTAGACACCCCTCATTACTCATATTAAAATAACAATATATAAACTGAAATGAACTTCTCACATTGTCAGTTTACTCAAAATAATACAAACCTAGATTGAACATCTAGGAATATTTCATATCCCAAACTAAATTTTATAAATGAGTGATATTTCCTGAGATACAAAAAACACTGCAGAAGTATATTTTAGATTGCCTTAAAAATACATCCAAACTTTTCCCATTTCAGGTCTGCTCTTGGTTAAAATTATTAGAAATACTAAGAAATTTTCTATAATTTCTTGAAAAACCAAGTCAAGGCTCCCTCTGGAGGCAAAAAAAAAAATGAAGACAGAACAGGTTAAATGCATTTTTATCAAATGTTTTGAGATTACCCGATAAGTGTAACTCTAGAATGAAACTTGGAAGTGAAAAGCAAGACAAGTAAAGAAAGATTTCAAAATATGTACATACTCTAAGGCTCTACATCTTCCACTCCTACTCTCAAGGACACAAAGGACAGAGCAACTGTGTCCATTATGCAGATTCCTCTTTATCATCCTTGGCAGCAACCTAAAGCAATCCATTAACTTCTAATGTTCTTTTTATAATTACATAATTTATAATTTACTGTCAATGTATTTATCTTTCATCTGATATTTTGTTTGTTTGAGGTCAGCAGCAAGAAGAGGAAGTTAGAATTTGTGAATCTCAATAGTGGAACTAGAGGAAAAATTGCTAGTTATCACAAACTGCTTATCATGCAGTGTAATACTGGCTTACATGATGGGCAAATAAATCTTTTCATAATTGCACAAAATGTATGGTTTTCAAACCTTTATCAACACAAACACAGAAAATTATATTGGCATTTTTGGAAGTGTCATTTTTTATGGAGAAATCCATGACAGCATCCAGCTTCAAAGTTATCCAGCCAGAACTCTTACCCCAGTTGACTTACTGCCCCTTGGGCAGGGGGCTGGACCCGATGATCTTGCAAGGTCACTTCCAACCCTAATGTTAATGAAATCTATGAAATATGTAATTTTTGCTCCTTCCTCAAAACCCCTATCATCCAGGACTCTATTCATAAAGGATAGCACTCTGGGAATTAAGAGAGATCATTCCTATTCTTAATCATCAAAATCTGCTGTAAGAGCATCTGAGACCATCTGTTGCCCCTTCTGTTGTTGAAAAAAAAACAAGTATATCTCCAAGTCAGACTCTTGGCACTGATCTTTGTCTTCAGCACCAATTAGATAAAGTGGAGGAGGCTTACTTTAGATACTCACTGAAAGAAGCAGAAATGAAACTGGTACCACAGTCAGCATGGTGCACTGTATCAACTGTGTACCAAAATAAAATTTTAATTGAGTTAATTGAGGAAGCAAAGAGCAAATGGATTAGGGTCAGACTGGCAAGAATTCGTAAGAGAAGTTTTACAGGGATGTGTTCTAGGTTCAACACTGTGAAACATTTTTGTTAATGTCCTGGATGTGGGAATAGAAAGTATACTGATCAGATTTAAAACGAAGTTAAATTTAGTACAGAGAAATGTAATATGTTACACCTAGGGAACAAAAAACCAAATGAACAAATACAAAATGAGCATAACTGGCTTGCCATCGTCAAGAGATTCTGGGAGATCACAAAAATTACATGAAACAACCATATGGTGTTGTTGGATCATAAATGTAAATGCAATTCTGGGTTGCATTAAGAGACATTATACACAAAGAACAAGAGATAATAGTAGCACCTGCACTTGGCACTGATTAGCCTTCAACTGGAGTACCGTGTCCATGCAATTTTAAGAATGATGCAAACATACTGGAAAGAATCCAAGGGCAACAGATTATAAAGGTGTTGGAATGCAAGCTATTTAAGGAAAGATGGAAGGAACTAGATATGTTTAGTTTGAAGAAATGGTCAAGGTGGGACACAATAAAAGTTTTAAATCTTCGAAAGACTGCCATTAAGAGGATGAACATGAATTGTTCTTTTTTGTCCATTTTAAATGTCAAATCATAAGGATTACATGATATCATTTCTTCATACATTGGGCACATAAGTTCAAATTCCAAGAAATGTTTCTATTTGGTGTAAAAACTGGAGAAAGCCCTTTAAAATCTGCAAACAATATGATGAGAAAAAAATATAATTCTTGACCTGAGAATCTTAAGAAATGGGTTTTGGTCCCCAATTCCAACACTGTTCATAACTCTCTACAATGACTCTTTAATGCAAAAGGCATGAACAGTCCATGAAGCAGGGCCCAGAACTCATGAGTGCCACTCCCGAGGAAGTGACATCATAACATGGCTATAATGTCATGTTCCATCTTGCTTGTTTCTTGTATGGCCTCATGAATCTTGTATTGTCCCAATGGCAGAACCTTAACAGGAGTAACAGAAAGTGCCTCAATTAATCTATTAGTAGTTAGGACACTCCTGGGAAGTGGGAGAATAATTTGAATCCCATGAGGCTAGAGGCCAACTGTCTCACTTCCTTGGCAAGTGCTCTAACCACTTTCTTTTCATAAAAAGGTGGTTACACCACTGCTGCCTCCTCCTCCTCCAGCCATGTTTGAAAAGAAAAGAGGGTAAGAAAGTTGTCCATAGCCAAGGACCAGCTGAACTAACTATATGAAGGAAATGTTTTTTAGGCTATGAATCCCTGGCTCCTGGCAGAAGTCTTTGCCTTCAAGAAACAAGTAATGTTGCATGATGGAAAATGTCATGCCATGTGACTTCCTTCAGATTCACAGGGCAAGCTATCCAAAGTGGAAAGTATGCCCTGGAAATGTTCTTTGCCAGAAGTCTGGAGAGCTGCTTGCAGGAGCTGTTAGTCCCTGTTCCACACCTTCCTCTGAGCTGCTAATGAGAAGTAAGCTCTGAGCTCCTTCTGGATGAAGAAGCTGGCCTAGTGCAGAGCAAAGGAGGTCCATGAAAAAGTGTGGGTGGGTGTTAGGGGGGGAAGGTAGGGAAACAGTAGTATCAGGTCTCAAACTCTCCTTGAACACCTTATTAAGGTGCTTTTGTGTATGTGCTTTTCCTCTTTCCTCATCTTCTCTCTTTCAACAGCTTTGCAAACAAATTCTCTCAGCCTCTCTCAGATTACTATTGTGTGTAAATAAAGCATGTCATGTTCAGTGTTTGTTCACACTTTGATTCTGACAGGTGCAAATGGCTCCCTAAAGAAGCAGCTCTGAAGGCTGGTTTGGGAGAGGGAGGAGGCGCTGTGTCATGACATCTCCTGTTGAGGCACCTGAGACAGCAGAGTTCAGCATGAGTCACAGAGTCCCTGGGATGCTGGAGGACCTGGTCAAGCACTATCGCCATGTGTGTGTCATGCCACATTCACAGGAAAGCTTTATAGAAACCACCTACAAAAATGTTCTACCTTTTTCAAGCAGTATCTTTATGGCTGTGACACCAGTGTCACATAGTCACCTAACTACAGCCTTGAATAACTCAGGTAAATTGAGGAAGAGGGCAGGACTTTAGTAAGGCCCTTGTCTTCAGTGTTTCCTATTAGCAGGCTTGGTCATCCCTTCATTCTGTGAAGGTGTTATAAATGAAATACTGAATACCTAGCTCTTCCCATTCTTTGCACTCTTTTTTGTAAATTGCACTACCTGACTGGGCATATAAAAGTTAGTTGGGGCAATGCTGAGCTTTGTTATATAAAGTTTCTTTGGGAATCTGGGCCTATGTAATTAGACACTTATTCAACAAGGTTAAATTAGGAATGACATTACATTTTACAAATGTTTTCACCTTCTAATAATGCCTTTTCCAGACAGACAAAAATATTTCAGTAATCCAGTAATGAGAGCAGCTCTAATTAAAGCGTCCAGAGTGTTTCGTGTATCAGCATCCCCATACTTCAAAATGGAGGCAGAGGAGCTTTATCTAAAGCTGGTCAGATGACCTTAAGATAAACTGCTCCTGCTGTCATGCTGAAGCGTAGGGACACTGATACATGAAATGCTGTAGGATGCTGCAGTGTGGTAATTACCCTGCTAGCAGACTTGATAAATTGAGTCTGCTTCAATGCACTATAATTACAGTGGATCAGAGCAGCTTCCCTGCTTCTGTATAGGCACCCTAAGGCAGGGGTTGGCAATGTTTTTGGGCAGAGTGCCAAAAACACCTGCAATCTTGACTTGCAAGATGTTGGTGTGCCAGTGGTGGATGGTGGGGGAGGTACGAGGGGCCCTATCCTCATTGTGGCAGTACAGTTCTGGCCCTTGTTCCGCTGTCCACCCCAAGGTGTGTGTACCTGTCCTGGAGCCCTGGCTACTCTCAGCAGGTGGTAAGGAGGCTGTAAGCAGCTGCACTGGGGTTTGTAGAGTCCGGGCTCAGCTCATTACTGGCAGTGGGTGCACACACACCTTGAAGCAGATGGTGGGGAAGGGGCTGTGGCTGCACTGCAACAACAAGGATTGGGCCCTTTGTAGCTCTCTTGCTGTCCACCCTGAGGTATGTGTGCCAAGCACAATGCTGTCACATGCCACACTCTGGCACATGTGTCAAGGGTTGCATACCTCTGCTCTGAGGTGTTACCCTGCCCTACCTTCTGTCTGATTTCAGATTAACATAGCTACCCACTCAGTGTAAAAGCCATTATGTGAGGATGGAAGTGAAAGAGATCTCTCTCTCTCTGCCCATTCAAATATTTTTAGTTACTTTCATTCATAGTCATTTGTGTTCAAAGTAGCTACTGTATAACTGGCTTATAGAAACTGTGACATTTATAATCCTGAACGTTAACCCTTTGGTCATAGTAATATTCAGCCAAACTTTATAGTAAGTGCATATAAAGTTTTAAGTCCTAAATAGGTTATAATTTAAATATGTTACTGTGATGTGGTAAGTGATAGAGTGTTAATAATACAGTTTGTTAACCTAGTCAGCTTTGAAAGGTCAAAAAAACAAGCATACCATGAGTGGGTGTCTTTTCTCTTCTCCGAACCCCTGTTGTTCTGCCTCTCTCATACTCAGAGCCCATGGGATGGCCCTCACCTTCAATTAACGAGTAATACTTTCCACTTTCATGCTCCAGAAAGTAGCTTGGAGACTCAGAGCCTTTCATTCCAGACTTTCCATATTTGCTGATGTCATCACAAGACATTATTCCAATGTCATCCCTAAAAATATTGACATAAAACAGTGAAGCAGAGACCATTTAACAATGAAGCCCTTAAGTGAACTGACCATATTACTTCAAAATTAGGAGAATGAAAAATATCCTGTTCCTATTTTGGAGAATCTCCACAAAAGTCATTAAACTTTATTTTAATACGTGTAGAATTCATCACATCATAATTACTTATCTGAAAGAAATTCATGTATTTTGCAGTAACTGAAAAAATAACTGAAAGTTTTTAATGTAGCCAAGCTGGAAAACTGTTCAGAGCTAGGTGACCATACATCCTGGTTTGGCTGGGACAGTCCCAGATTTTGTAGGCTGGTCCCACCCAGTTGGTCAAAATTTAAACAGAAGTCCCAGAGTCTCAGGGGTGCAGCAGGGATGTGGAGGATCATGGTGCACCAGACAGCTCAGTCTCCCTATCAGATTGTACCTGCTGGCCTCTACCACTGCCTGGAGCAGTGGAGCTGATTAGTGGGAGCAGGGGGGAGGAGGGCAGCTGTGTCCAGATTTCCTTCTGGATTTCCTTATGGTCACCCTATGCAGAACACTATTCCACAGCCATAATTTCCCTCAAATAACCAGCTGAATGAACTATTTTGCTTGCAATATTTATCAGGCATGTGAAACAAATATGATTAATTCTTACAAAACAGAGTGTAGATATATACTGTAACTAGGACCCCCCCACCTCCCCCCTACACAAAGACACACCAAACAAATTGCTGGAAGATAATGAGAAGAGCATACAGCCTGAAACAGGTGGAGAGGACCATATTCAGCAGTAGGAGAATGAAGCACTCCACAATTTGGCTTAGTTATGAAAAGAAGATTAAAAGAGCTGGGTTAAAACTTACGGAAGAAATACAGAAAGAGGGAGTTCTGGGTGTCCAGTTAGTGTGTATGAGATATGCTGTCCCCAAGCTGCAGAGCAGAATGAATGGTGTTTTAGTATTTACCATGCTTCTGGGCTTTGCTGGTTGTCACATGGGATCAGGAAGGAATTTACCCCTGCCCCCTCCTGTTGCTACAGGTTTCAGGGGGTGTTTCACTTTTCTCAGAAGCATAGGGTGTTGGCTGAAGCCAAGGCTGGGGTATACTTTGACTGGTACAGTAGGACCAGCCCCTGAGAGCAGTCATGGTTGCTGAAGTAATCCTGCCTGACTCCAGCTTCCTAGGGTACCCTCTCTCTGCTTCACTTGCCCCATCTTGATACAAATTTTCTATTACTTTTGTCCCCAGAGTCCTAGAGCCAGCCTAAAGAATCTGCACTTGGCCTCACTCCACTTGCTTACCTGGACCCTAAGTCTTCTAACTAAAAAAAATTCTGTGCCTTATTGGCACTAACTGTCGTCTGCTGACCCTAATCATGGCCTCCAGCCTCCTCCCCTATGGCCACACCTGTGCACCATGGGTCTTACTTCAATTCCTTCTGGTCCCATGTTGGTTTGAGGCCCCTAGGAGCCCTCACCCTTGAAGGGCTCAAATACAAGTTTCAGCCCCCTGTATACCTGAGCCTTGTAGGGATCATATCACTGAGTGCCCCCCAACCTCCCCTGTAGCCACTCCTAAGCCTCAGTCAAATGAACAAAAACACAAGCCAACCAGTCTATAACTCAAAGTCTTAACCTCCACCTTGGGCTTCTATGTTACTGCAAGAAACCTGTCTGTAATCAGCTTGCAGTCATCAGTGTACCTTTCTAGGTCTGTGGCTTCCCCTTTAGTAGCATATGCAGACAGGAGCTGCAGAGCTACTGCTCCCTTTGCCCACATAATTGCCCCCTGACCCATGAATCAACCCCTCTACTCCTGGATTGCTCCCCTTTCACACCTATTCCCCACCTACTTCACCCCACCATCATTTCCCTGCAGGCCCAATCATCCCAAAAAGGCTGGAGACCATGGTGGGGGTGTTCTTCCTCCCTGCCTGTTCCTGGGGTACCTCCAGAACGCTCCAACCCTGCATGCCCAGATCCAGCCCCTGCTAGGCCCTGGAACTGAAGGACCACTAGCATTTGTTAACCATAACACAGATGTTAGCACCTGTTACTCTAACATGTAATCTTACCATAAAATAAATAACCTTACAAAAGTCATTGAGACTGTACATATGACTAAGGCCTCCTCTACACATGAAGGTAAAGGCATGATGGGATATAAGGTAAAATTCACACAACTGTACTTCCTGCCATGCCACATGTGCATGGCAGGGGGCATGATTGTGGGATCCTATTTTAGATCCCATCATGCCTTATTGCTGGTACAGGGGAGCCCAATTTCAGGTTCCCCCTGCACTGGCAAGCTCCCAGGGCTGGGAGTCCCTGCACCACAGTTGAGGGGCTCTCAGCTGTGGGGGTATGCATGCACCCCCAGGGATGGAGGATCACCACTCTGCTGATCTTCACATCCTGAGGGTGTGGGAGAATCCCTGGGGCTGGCAGATCACCATAGAGGCAATCCCTGTGCCCTGGTGGTACAGGGAAACCCTTGGAGCTGGAGGATCACCACAGAGTGATCCCCCCCACCTGGAGTGTGAGCACCCTCTGGGGCCAGAGGATCACCATGAACCTCTGGCCCCAGGTGTTTCCTGAACTCCTGAACCCTAGGGAACTGTGATCTAGGGATCAGAGGAATTGTCATCCCTAGGGGTTGGGGGTGTGGGAAGCCCCCAGACCCTGCAGATTGTGGCTCCTGTGATCCCCAGGGCTCAGGGGTGCAGGAAACCCCCAGACCCTGGGAATCACAGCTGCTGGGATCCCTAGGATTCTGGGGTTTTATGCTGGGCATGGTGCACCCCTGCAGCTGGGAGCCCCATCAGCTGAAGGGGTTGCAAGCCACAGGGAAACCCTGCTACACGTGCAAATTAAAGCTCAATAGCAACTAGTTATCAAGTTAGTACACATTTTTGAGATCTAACTTTACAGCTGGTTGGAAGTTTTTATTGTGTGATAGCTATGTTGCACATGTGGCTGGTCTCAGTGTAACTGTACAATTAACCAGTTTATTGTGCATTACCTGTAATCTGTAGAGGGTGGCAAAGGTTAAGCACTTAAGTGCTTTGCTGAATCAGAGCCTTAAACAGGTGCTCTCATACTTCTCCAGCTAGTTAGTTAAGTGGTGACTAAAGATCTTATGAAATTATTAAAAAAAAAAGCATTCAAAATGTTGGTATCCTGGCTAATTTTTCTGCACAGTAGTTGGCAACTCTGAATAGTACTAGACCTTCATAGGTGCATAGGGGATAATAATCACAACATTTTCTACACACGGACACTGCATCTGCTTTCCATTATATTTAAATACCTCATAAAATACCTTGCAATATTTAACTATGCATAATCTGAAAGGGAAGAATAAAATATTTCTGTTTTTTAGTCTGAAACAGCCTGCAATATTTTGCTTTAGGTCTACTCAGACTCATGAGGAGGTTTACCTTGGGCCATAAAGAGGAGAGAGGATGAAAATGTCCTGGAGAGCTGAACTGTCCAATTTTGAGGATATGCCCATTGTGCTGGTTGGTGTTGTGGAGCTACTAGTTGCGCTGGTTGGAATTACAGGCTGTAAAAAAGAAGAAAACAATTTAAGAATACATTAGTCCAGGCATTTTCAGCCTTTTTGGGTCACTGTACCCCCAGTGGCTAGATGCAAAGCAATTTAACCCCGGCCTCTGAACAGGGTGGTGGGGAAGCAGCGATGGCACGCGGTTGGACACCGAGCTGGGGAGGGAGATGGTGAATGCTGGATGTGGAGCAGCAGCAGCCACCATGTGTGAGCTTCCCCCCTGTCCCCGTGTCTGGCCAGGTGGGTGGTGCCTGCACAGCAGTGCGAGATGGTGCATGGTGGCGCTCCATCCCTGCCTGTCCATGCATACCCCCTAGGGCCTTCTCAAGTACCCCCAGGGGTACGTGTATTCCCATTTGACAACCCCTGCACTAGTCAATTCTATGATACATGTTAGGGGTGCTGTAACAAAGCTAAGATGTGTTTTTCTGGAGGGGAGATGGACATTATCTATCTATCTATCTCCACTCCAGGAAAACACATGGTAGCTTTGTTACAGCACCCCTAACATGTATCATAGAATTGTCTAGTGCAGGGGTTGTCAACCAGGGGTACGCGTACCCCTGGGCTACTTGAGAAGGCCCTAGGGGGTATGCGCGGATGGGTGGGGATGGAGCACCACCACACACCATCCCACGCTGCCACACAGGTTCCGCCCACCTAGCCAGACATGGGGGTGGGGGTGAGGGTGAGGGGGCAAAGCTCATGCATGGCAGCTGCTCCTGCTCCTTGTTCAGCCATGTCCAGTCCTCCCTAGCTCGGCATCTGGCTCTGCGCCATCCCCCAACACCCGCTCAGCAGCCAGGGGTACACTGCTGTGCGTCTGGCCACTGGGAATACAATGATCCAAAAAGGATGATTATTTTATATATGTGTACATATATATATACACACACACACACACACACATGCACACACACGCATACATGTTTTTTGGAAGGGGTTAGGCATCATTACAGCTTCTCCCAAAAGGGATGCTTATGGAAAGTTTTCCTTGTTTTAGCTAGCAGCACATGAGTAATGGTATGTGAAAATGTAAAGCAAATGTGTTTGAATTAATGTTAAAGATGCCTCATGGAAAATTCTAAAAATCATTTATCCCTTAACAATATAGTAATTAACAGCAGTCTCTCTTCTGGACAGACAAAAATCCACTATTAAAATGACAGTAATATTGTATAGGCTTTATATATGTGCCCCATTAATTTTAAGTAGATATTTTCATTTTTCTGCTCCTGTGGATATGCAATATGGACAGATGTAACTGCAGTATTTATTTCATGCTCAAAGATGTAGAACTGCTCCAAAAGTTGGGTTTTACAAATGGGCATTCAATTAATATATACAGAAACTGATGTTAAGATTGTGTGTCATGATATCCATGTAGAGTACACTTAAAAATAATCTATACAGCATAGCATATCCCAATTCTAATTGCATTTTATTATACATTTAAGAACACTTATGTTACCTGAAAGCATTAAGAACCATACCGGGTATGTCTACATGAGACGTTTACTAAGGAGTTGCCTAATTAGCTCCATAATAAAAGTCTCGGCATCTACACATGCACCCCTATCCTGCTGCAGAGTTTTTTCATGCACAGCAATGCACATGTAGATGTAGAACCAGCTGGATGGGGCATGACAGTGCTTCAATGTGGGGGATGCCCGCTAGCTAGCCCCACACTGAAGCACCCTCATGCCCCAGCCAACCCCTCTGCAGCATGTTGAGCCACATCAGAGCAGCCCTGGGCTGGTATGCTGACCCCGGACCCCTTGCCAACTGGGGATACTCTAACCCAGCTCAACATGCTCTGGTCCCAGGTGCATATGTAAACGTGGCACCTGGGAGCAAGGAACTTTGGCACAATTATTGCCTTGCATTAATACGCATGTATAGATGCACCCACTGTAAGCAAAAGGAGGACTTCTAGCTCTGAGACATATATACAGAATTCCTAAATCTCTATATGAAACTGGCTGCACCCAAATAGGATGGGTCTCAGGCCTGCACCCAAATAGAATGGAATATGAAAGCCACATTACAGTCCACGGGCATGGAACCATCATTGAGAGGTTACTTCTATTATCTGAACTTAAAAGATTGTGTTAGGGAGTTAGATTTCACCTTCCCAAGCTGTCCTTACTACATATGCATAGAGTTCAAGCACTCCTGCTGTACATGGGTAGAGTAAATTTCATATATGAACCTGTTAATATGCAAATGTAGGGAAGCGACTCTCTTTTTTAAACTAGACACATATAGTATTTAGATGAGGAGTGTCAAAAATATAGTCTGCAGACCACCTCTGGCTTGTAGAGCACCATTGGCCAGTTCCCAGTGCTGCCCCAGGGGTTTTGAGTTGATCCAAACGTCACATGTGGCACGTGCCAAACTGCCCCTACAAGCAGGTGCTGGAACACATGCCACATATTGCATCTGCTTTGACCAGTCTGGGACCTCTGCTGCATGCAGAGCCTGCTCTAGCCAGTCCCAAAATGCCACATACAGTACCCACCTTAGCTGGTCTGGAACCCACACTGCAACCACTCTAGCTGGTTCAGGGACTCCACTACACCAGCCTCTATTCCAAGCAGTTCAGAGTATGCACTGCACATGGTGCAGGGCATGGACTGGCCAGCATGAATGCTATTCAAGCTGGATCTGGCATGCAGGGAGTTGTGGGGAGTGTGTGAGTCTGTGTGTGGGGGAAATCTGTGGGTCTGATCCTGCCCATGGACTAGCCCCATGATACCCACAGGGCCAGATCAATTTAACATCCCAATTTAGATCTATTACAAATGGAACTTTTGGAGGGACTTGATGGCATAAGGAACTGGTAGTAGGATTTCATAGATTTTTAGGGTTGGAAAGGATCTCAGTAGATCGTTGAATCTGACCCTCTGCCCTGAGCAGGAAAAAGCACTTGGGTCAGATGACCCCCTGCAGGTGTTTGTCCAGTCTCTTCTTAAAGACCTCCAAACTAGGGAAGAGTACCACCTCACTTGGAAGGTTATTCCAGATTCTGGTAACCCTTACCATAAAGAAGCTCTTCCTAATGTCTAAATTTGCTCTCTGTCAGGTTTTGGCATTGTTCCTAGTTACTCCAAGGGGTGCCCTGGCAAACAGAGTATCTCCAATTCCTTGTTCCCCACCCCCCACCCAAGAAACTTGTAGACAGCCATTAGATCACTTCTAAGCCTTTTCTTATGGAGGCTGAAGAGATCCAGGTCCCTCAATCTCTCCTCGTAAGATCTTCCTTGCAGGCCCCTAACCATACAACTGGCCCTCCTCTGGACCCTCTCAAGGTTATCCACATCCCTCTTGAAGTGCAGCGCCCAAAACTGGCCACAGTACTCCAGCTGCAGCCTTACCAATGTTAAATAGAGGGGAGGTATCACCTCCCTAGATCTGTTTGTGATGCACCTGTTAATGCATGATAAAATGTGATTAGCTCTATTGATCACTTTGTCGCATTGTCAACTCATGTTCATCTTGGAGTCAATTATGACTCTCAGATCCCTCTCTGCTGCTGTGCTGTTTAGAAAGTTGTCTCCCAATGTATAAGTATGTTGGTGATTCCTCCTCCCCAGGTGCAGTACCTTGCACTTATCCTTGTTAAACTGCATCCTGTTTTATTTTTCCCACTTTTCCAGCCTGTCCAAATCCACCTGAATCTGTTCCCTACCATCTGGTGTACTTACTTTGCCCCATAATTTGGTGTCATCCACGAACTTGAACAGCGTGCTTTCCATGCCTTTGTCCAAGTCACTGATGAAGATATTGAATAGCACTGGTCCAAGAACCAAGCCTTGGGGGACCCCACTGCCCATATCTTTCCAGAACAATACCGACCCATACATCACCACTCTCTGGGTGTGTCCCATTAGGCAATTTGCCACACACCTGACTGTGTAATTATCTAAGTCACAGCCACTTAGTTATGAGAATGGGATGTGACATCGTATTGAAGGCTTTTTAAAAATCCAGCTATATGACATCGACTTCAACTCCTGTATCTAAGCATTTTGTGACCTGGCTGTAAGGATCTACCTGCTATGAATCCATGCTGGTTGCCCTTCAGCATTATTTTTCCTGCTGGACTTCCACAAATGTAATCCTTAATCTTTTTTTCAAAGATTTTCCCAAGGATAGGGGTGAGGCTAACCAGTTTATAGTTACCCAGATCCTTCTTTCTCCCCTTCTGGAAAATAGAGACCACATTGGCTCTTTTCCAGTCCTCTGGGACTTGTCCTGAGTGTCATGAGTGCTTAAACAGTCTTGACAGTGCTTCTGTTATGACACTGGCTAATTCTTTCATCACCCTTGGGTGAAGATCATCTGGGTCTGCTGACTTGAACACATGAAACCCCTCTAAGTGTCCCTTCACTAGGTTGGTGCTAACCGTTGGTGGTGCGGTGTCTCTGCTGTGCCTGTCTATGGTCAGATTTGGAGATATGTCTTTGTCCATGCTCAGGAATACTGATGCAAAAAACTCATTGAAGCCTTGTCCCTCCTATCCATCACTAATCATACAGGATGCACAGTATAAAACACCTATATGGTCTCTCATTAGTTCCCATAGCAATTGCTTATTGATAGTAAAGTGAAGCTTGAGAAACACTGATTATTTCACTCTAGTACCTAATTTAAACAATTAATATGATTAACATCCCTGCTAGCAGCATCAGCAGAGACACTGTGGGTGAAGCAGGTGAATTCAGTGCATTCAGTTAACTAGACATGGATATTGAAGTCAACCATTTCATCATCCAGGTGATATACTGTGGAGAATATATAATTATCATTGCTCAAAAGTTTTGTTCTGTAACCAGATGATATCAAGAACATGTCCTCAATTATGCTTTAAATAAAGAGAAAGTTCAAAGTGGGAGGAACATTCATTTTTTAAATATTAAGGAGGAATCTATAAACTTATCCTTTTGTGTAGAAGTGTGTGACAGGATGCTTAGTGCACCTGTCACTTTAAGAGA